TCCAATTAAGTTGATTAATTTAAAATGAATTGATGAAAAAACTCATGATAGGGCTGAGGGTATAGTTCCATGACGGAAATACCGACTATGCTTGAAGACTTGGGTTCAACCCATGCCCCTGGGGCCGGGGAGATGGCTCAGTAGAATGAGCGCTTGTCTGGCAAGCACAAGGGCCGGAGTTCAATCCCTGGTTCCACCCAAAACAAAACAAAATCAACCCATATCCCTGAAAAAACAGAGACAGAAACACAAAAAACCCTCATAGTGAGTGTGCCAGAAGCAGAGAAAGGAGGAATTAGAGGATGAAGGACTGAGAAGAAGCAAAACCTGCCAGTAAAGGCTGCGTAGGGAGGTACACGGGAGGCACCGGACATTGCAATCCGCGACTGGTGGTGTGCGCGCCAGCTGGGTGCCTTGCTCCCTGTCCGCTGCCACCAGCGCAGGACGAAGTCAAGGCAGTTACGATTCACAGGGCAAAGCAGTGTCCATCTGGGCAGGGAGGAGCCCGTGGTCACTGACATCAGTGAGGACTGCCAAAGTCAATGATTATTAAAAGCAAACGTACTTAGCCCATTTAGTTGATTATCAAATTAAACATATTTTCTGCTGACGCTGCACACCCTGATTGCTTCCACCTGAGAGCCCCGCCCACCCACGGCCCTGACTGTGCTGCAGACATTGAATGGAGGCTCTAATTCCACAGCCCTGCAGACTGCTGTGGGGAGCCTATTCCTGCTGCAGCCCTGTTATTAGGTTGGCAGGCAGGTCAAGACCACCTTGGCACCTGAGGCTGGGGTGACAGAATCTTCTGCAGTAACATGGCCCCTCTCCAGGCCCAGCTCACTACTAGCTGATGGCTCAGGCATTTAGGCTATGTTGGCCTTGTTCTCCCTGTGTGGTTTGGGGGACAGAGTAGGGAAGGAAGTGGGGAGGATGTGAAACCAAATAGGTTTCCATAGGGCTCCCTGGGGCCCAGGGAGCACCCAGGCTGGTAGCAGGGCACCTAACATGTATTCTGGGGGAAGCTCAGGGCAAGGTGGAAACAAAGATGTGGCCCCACCCTGGGGGCTCACTGGGGCACAGACGCAGGACATAGGGACGCAGGCCACAGACAATTCACGGCTACTGGAAGTGAGGGGTGAGGCAAGAAGCCCAGGTGGAGCAGGGCCTGTGTGGAGGAGGAGAGAAGGTAACAGGGAGTACCTCAGATGCTGGAGCCTTGGGGTGCAGGTGGGACTGGATCTGAGGGGACTGGTGGGAACGCAACTCAGGTTCAGGATGATTAAAAAAGATAAAAGTTGCAGAGGGTTGGGACTGGGGGAGGAGCCTGAAGGAGGGTCGAGAGGTTGGAGCCTAAGTGGCATCCAAGGATCCAGCAGAGCTGGATAGAGAGGGTGAAGCCACCATGGGAGACAGGGGAGCTGGGACTGGGGTGTGCTCACTGTGAGTGATGGTGAGCTCGGTCCCCTCGATGGCCTGCCACATCTGTGTGCCTTCACTCTGAGTGTGTAGCTGCACTCGGCAGAAGTACTTGTTCTGATCCTTCTTCTTCAGGTTCCGGATTCTGAGGGAGCCAGAACTCTGATCCTCTGTCCAGTTCAGAAAGAGCCGGTCCTTGAAATCCTTATGGATGAAAAGTGGGCTTGTTTTATAGAAAAACTCTCCATGGAAGTCGTTCCGTCTCCAGAACAGTCTCACGTCGGGGTTCTCAGACAAGGTCCAGGAGTGGTTGAAGGAGAAGGGGATGTCAACAGAGCCCCCAATGGAAGCAGAGAGGTGTTTTGGTTGATTAACCCAAAAGGAGGGGCGTCCTCTGCTGGATCCTGCTGAGTTACCTGGAAGAGGTGAGAGGGAGAGGCTGAAGCTACTGTGGGACACAGAGGACCCCTCAGGCCTGGCACCTTCGTCCACATGAAGGGAGTCGTGTGGCAGATGGCAGCACTGTCCCTCTGGCCTGGTGCCTGCTTCTCTAGGCTTCAGGGAGCACAGCAGGTACGGGTGGGAGTAGAGGACCCTGTGGAGCAGCCCTTTGGGGCAGTGAGGGCCCGGCTCCACTCACAGACCCCCTCTTCAGCTGCCCATTCCCTCACTCCTGTCCCCGTCCATCCCTCCTGGGTTTGATCAGAGCCCCTGCCAGAGCCAACCCCACTTCTTACCAGCTTGCAGGCACATTGAGGACAGGCATAGCAGCAGCAGGTCCCAGCCCATGGCCTGCTCTCCTCAGGGTGCGAGACAAGCAGAGCCCCAAGGCAGACAGCAGGTCCAGGAGAGGGGAGCGTAGGGTAGACTGGTCGGGAATACAGCGCCAGCTCCTTCAGGGGCCTGTGAGAGGGCGTGGCCTGCCCATGTCCACCCTCTGTGGCCAGCATTTCCCATATCAATATGACTTCTGCTTTTCCCATGTTGCAGAAGGGCCTCCTTTGTGCCAAATGTCAAGGTAGCCCTGTCCTCTGTCCCCAGTTTCTAGCTTCTGCTGGGGGGCCTGGAACTGATCTTGGCCTTGCAGGCCTCCCTTCACCCACCTGACCCCTTGCCCTGGCCGCTCGGGTAGAGGGTCCTGTGCAGCTGCTGGTCCTGTTGTCTCTGTGCCGGCCCTCCCCACCTCATTCCGGGTTTCTTTCTGTCTCACTACCCTTTGGCTCTCTGAGCGTCTCTCTCTCCAGTCAGGGAAGGGGCTGCCCACCCAGCCCCAGCTCTGTCAGGGAGAGGAAAGGCTGCTGTGACCAGAACTTGACTTTAGAGAGGATGAGGAGCGTGGTGGTGGTGGTGGTCACCTGCCCTCAGGCCCCAGCCCTGGACCCCGGCCCTGCAAGCCTGCCCTGTATCCCCTCCATGCCTGTCAGGGGCTCCCTGCACTCCCCAGGCAGCATCAAGCCTGCTGGTGGCTCATTATGGCCCTGGCCTGATTCTTTGGCTCCAAGTCCATATCATCCCTGGTGTCAGAGGTGATGGTCCCATTGACCTAGAGCAAGATGCTCAAAGACTCGCCTGCACATGCAGAGTGCCCTCTGCCCTCCCGCCATAGAGAGCAGGAGACCAAGGCTCACAACAGCTTTGGTCCAGGAAATGTGATTGTCACTTGTTGTGTTCTTTTTTTTTTCTTCAAAGTTTTATTGATAAACAGATAGCAATGAGACAGTTTCAAATCAAATCAGAAGTACAGTTTCAACAAATAATGCACTGCATATATTCTTCTTAGTGGTTAATTGCTGTACAAGAAGTGGACTTGTGATCCTATTTACAAACACCATTAGAACAAATCATTCTATTCATTAAGAGAATGCAACTATATATCTATCCTAACCACTTTGAATACACAGATACAAAATGGACATTCATAGTTATACCCCATTTTTTCTAAGTTCCGTTATTGAATATTATAGGTGTATAAACTCAGCAAAATATTCTAAAAGAGTCCAGTAGCCCATAATAGCATTGGGTCTTCTGTTTAACCGGCAATGTCAGAAATTATTGACCTGAGTCCCCCACAGCTCAACATAACAACATGGCTTTACTTCCTATATTTCATCTTCATACTTTTCTACTGGATGGTTAAGACCAAGGTAAAGCAGGACCTATGCAACAAGAGTTGTAGCTTTTTGGTCTGACAAGGTCAGTGAAATGCCCTCAGGATTTATCTTGAGATCCTGTACCTCAAATTGTAGAACCTTTGTCAGTGCAGCCATGTGGATGAGTCACGGCCATTGCTTGGCCAATGTGCTCTCTGTGAAAGCCTGAGAGAACTTGTTGTGTTCTGTCATGTGTTGTGTCCAAGACAGGACCTCATTCATGTCCAGTTCACAAAGCCTTCCTGTGGACCTGGGCTCTGCAGGCCGGGGCCTGGCTGTCTCTGGGCCCAGCTTTGCAGTGCCACAGGTCTGGTGATGTGGGAACCCTGGAGCCTGGATCTTTCTGAGGCTCCTTTGATGGTTCTCTGAGAGCTATAAGTTCCCTGGCCAGTCCACATCTTCCTCGATCACAGGGGCAGCGAGGGCTCACCGTGGCAAGAAGTTGCCTCTTACCCAGGTACTGGGACCTGTCTAGCAGAGGACACTGCCACCCCTGAGCAGTGGTTGGGAGGTGACGGGTTAGAGCACAGGGGTTGGTGACACACGGAGTTGTTCTGTCACAGGCTCTGCTCATCCCTCTCCAGGATGAGTTGGGCACCAGCTAGTTGAGGAGACTGTGGGAGTAGCAGACGTGACTCACTGTAGGAAGTTGTATCACCCTCTTCAACAGGTGCTTCGTGGGGCCTGGAGGATGGCTCAGTGGAATAAGCGCTTCCCTGGCAAACGCAGAGGCCTGAGTTCAATAAAAAAAAAAAAAAAAAAAAAAAAAAAAAAAAAAAAAAAGAGGCACTTCGCTTCCTCTGCCTCAGCTTCTGCCCAGTGCCAACGGCCTCTTCCCCAGCCACCCCCAGCCGTGGGGCAGCCCCTGCCTTGGTCCCCTTCCTCCCCTGTCCCACAGGTGCTCAGTGTGTGCACCCCCCTGGATCTGAGCCCTACTGTGAAACCCTGTGCTGCCTTCTCACTCTCACCACACTTGATATCGCTATCTACACTTGGGGAAACTGAGGCACGGGACTTTGAAACTGAGGCATGGGACTTTTGAGTTAGTCCCAGATGGACAGATTGGATGGCATGGGCCAGTGAGGTGTCTCCTGGGCTGCTCTCCCTTGAGAGAGTGACAGGGCCTGGATGTCAGCCTGAAACCACGTCCATCGCACAGTGGTGCTTTTTGGAGGCCGAGTGCCTAGATGTTTAGTGCTCAGAGATGGGCTTCTGCATACACAAGGTGCTGCAGCCCTCCATGGCCTGGGAGAGGTCATAGTCAGTGTGTCCAAGAGCAGGCCAGGAGCGGTGGAGGGCTTGGCCCACACTTGGATACCACAGCCTTAGAGTGCTGCAAGCCCCGCAGCATCCAGGTCTCCATTCCTGCCTAGTCACAGCCACTCACGCCATGTCCTCCTGCTCCTCCACACAGCTGTGAGATCACAGACTTTGTCTTAGATTCGAGTGTGTGTGTGTTTGCACGGGCACACACACATGCTCTTTAGCAGCCATTTTTCAAGTCCAAATGTATTTGCTCCTGTCTTGTTTCTTGCCTCCCTTTTGATGTCCTGGCATCGGTGGGCTCCCTGCTCATAGCCAGTCTGAAAACAGTGGAGTCACTGTCAGCCTCTCCCTGAAACCTCTCAGTTTTCTGAGCAAGGGTGCTGTCGGTCCTTGGATCTGTCTGAGTCACTTTCTCATTGCTGAGACAAAATACTTGATGCCCTCACGGTCGATGAAAGGTTTATTTTGGCTCACGGTTTGTAGAGATTCCAGCCAACAGGCTCCACAGTAGGGCAGCTCTGCGAGGGCCCCAGCAGAGCAGAAACGGCTAGTGGCAGGGAGACAGGAGGGGCAGAGAGGTCGAGGGAGATGGATTCGGGACAAGCCCTTCCAGGCCACTTCCCCCAGGGGTTCCCACAGTCTGGCTTCACCTCCCAATGTCAAATGTCCTTATAAATGTGGCAGTGGACTAATCCACAGGTGACAATCATGCCTTTGTGACCCAATGTCCCCAAGTGCCTATCTGAGAGTGCATGAAGCATACAGGGAACATCTAGTGACAGGACCCATCTGGGGCATACTGAGCCTTCCCCTGAGCCTTGTGCTCCACAGTGCTAAGGGCCCCACAAGATTTCCAGCTCTGATGTTTCTGGGGAGCAGGATGGGACAGGTCTTGCTCCCCCTTTCAGAATCCCCTGGGTGTTAGGAGGTCTCAGGCGCTTGGTCCCCACTTGTGTCCTATTCATCCCTTTACTGTCACCCCTCCATCTCGGGGAGTGCTGCTGGCTCCAGCATGCAGCTCACACTGGAGAACTGGAGATGACTTTGGGACCACCCTTACCCTCTCCTCACAGCCAGGAAGAACTCTGCTTCCAAAACATATTTCAGATCCTCCTACTTCTTTACCGTCTATTCCACCTTGCTAGACACACCTGATGCCATCCTACGTGGTATTGCAGGGGCTTCTGGAATTTTCCAGGTCTCCTTCAGCCCTTCCCCACTCCCATTAACACTGCCTCTGCCCAGGAAGCCTTGTGGTCTTGTACTTAAGGACAGGGTCTCCAGGGTCTCACTAGGTAGACTGGAGTTGTAGTGATCCGCTGTGTTCAGCCTCCCGAGAGCTGGGATTACAGGCGTGGGCCACCACTCGTGTCAAGGCCACTTCTGGGTGCACCAGGGGCGGGGCCTGCGTGGCATGCTAGGGATGGAACTCAGGCTGCTACTTGGGCTTAAGCTGGCACTTTAATCCGCTGGGCTATTTGGCCAGTCCTCTTGTGGTCTTTAATGATGTAGATCTGCTCATTTTACTTGCCTGCAGGAGTATTCGCTTTTGCACGCTCCCCACTCTGTATTCCCTTTGTCCTGCCCTTTCCAAACAGTCTTCCTTTCATTAAAAACAAACAGAAAAGCCTCACAGAGAGTGACTGCGTCTGCAATGAAATCCCCAGCCCATCCACCACCCACACATTCTCTCACAGCCCTGCATCCCCTGCCCAGCTCCCCTTCCTCACAGGCACTGACCTTCCTCCGACCCCTGCAGTGCAGCCTCTGTCCTGTCTCAGGACCTTTGAACAGCTCTGTCCTTCCTGTACAATCTCCTCACCGTCTTTGCCTGGACTCCTCCCTCTCTCCCAAGGCCTGTGTAGAATTCCATCAGCCCGGTATCAGTCTTCCCGGGGCCTTCTCCCATTATCATTGCTGGGGTTTTTCATCTGCTTACCAACCTTCTGCTAGTGCACCTGATGAATGCAAGTGATTGCTCAACTCTCATTCACAGCCCTGGGCTTGGGGTTGAAACCACATAGGAAGTCAGTGATTCTCTCTGAAGAAATTAAATGAGGAAATGAAAGGAGGAGATGGTGAAGCAGGTGGGTTGGGGGCCAGGAGGCTGGTCCTGGGGGCAGACAGTGGGCTCCTCTTGCCTTCCCTCTGAGCACTCAAGAGCACAGTCCCCTTCTTACCCTTGCTCTAAGGATAAAGGACAGATGGTGGCCTCCTTCTGCCCCATCCCTTACCTCCTTCTCCTCCCTGGCCTGCTAGGTCATCCTGGCTATAAAGGCCTGGGGGTTGGGGACGCCCAGTCCTGTTGGTCTCAAAGCAGAGCAGAGCGGGACCAGACCAGCCCCCGCTGCTGGGCCCGAGCATTTTCACTGCCTGCTGAGCACCCTGGGAGGGGACAAACGAGGCTGTGTGGGTCCTGGGAGGTCCGAGGTTGTTGCCAGGTTCCTGCAG